AGAGATGGTTCCCAGGTCCTTGAGAAAGATATTTCTTCATCATAAAGTTGATAAAAGACATATTTAGTCTTCAAAAGAATTAATATACACTTCAGAGAAGGAGGAAATATTTAGAATTATAAACTTTCTAAAGTAAATACTCTGATACAAATGAGGGGAGAAGAATTTCTTCCCTTATATTTAATAGGGAGAATTAAGCTTCTTATTTTTAATTTATATTTGTCTTTACAAAGGTTAAGTTAAATTTGGTTTTTCATTTGACATTAGGTCTATTAATCACAATCTGGTTATCACAACTGTCATATCTCACTCAAAAATTTATGTACAACAATGTGGTCAGTAATATACTTTCAATTCTCTTTTTCTTTGAACTCATTGCATTGTTTTCTTTATCACAATTTATTATCTTGAACTAGTATTACCAGATGTTTGGAAATAGTAGTTGCCAAAACCACTTATTAGAATTACAGTGTTTAGAAAATAGCGAATCTTTGTAGACCATTAGCAGCAGCAGCAGCAGCAGTAGTGGCAGAATCTTCTAACTTTACTTGGAAACCAAATCATGGCCATCCTGTCCTCAGCTACCTTCTTAACTATCAGTGTTAATTTATCAGTTCTAAAATGTTGGTGGATTCCAGGTCAAAGAGATATTTCTCTTCCCAGTTTGATTTATGTATATGTCTCCATGTCAGCATTTGAAAGCGTTATTGGAAGCTGTAAACCAATGTTTGTAGTAAGCTTATTAAATGTGTTTAATATTTGTGGTTCACCAAACTTACACGGATTATTCCTTGAGTCTAGAAAATGTTAACTTATGATCTTGTATTTATGATGTGCTTCCATCTCCAACTAGATTTTGGGTCATCCCCACACCCAAAACCTGTCATTGCCAGAAGTGTTGGCAGAAAAAGCTGCTCCAAATTTTACATATATTGCAAACGTCCTGCTTCCTTTTCAGCTCACTCACTGGGGATTAGCAGCAGGTCCTAGGATACCTGAGCACTTGTACAACTCTGCTGTATTTGTGCAGGTGTGAAATTGGAGAGCGAAGGCTTGGGATGGAGAGGACAACCTCCCTATCCCAAGAGCCACCATTTGTGTAAACCAGGACATGCTCTGGAGAATATGGGATCAGAGATGCAGTGATAGGTTGTATCAGGATGCAGAGCTTTCCTATGATGAAGACAGGAGACATCAGGATCATCTTCACTGGCTGTCTCAGCATTGCCTTGGAGGTCACTGATGTGCCACTGCTGGAGCAGTCATAAACGTGGCTGTGCTGATGGGAAATTCATCCAATGACTCATTTGTCATGCTCAGCTTATCTGGAGGTGGTCCTCACTTTAGTCTGATCACTATCCAACTTAAAAGACACTCAAAAACGCAAGCTTTGGTTTTTCTTAAAATTATTATTGGAGAAAAAATATAGGTACAAAGTTCTTAAGGAGGAAACAATTGCATTTGAATAATATAAGTTATGTAATATTTTATGAATATGTTATGTAATATTTTAAATTATGTTTCTTTCTCACTTCCTCCCATTAGGGCAAATTATTAACAGTAACAGAAAAAACACAACCTTAAGACTTTAACCTCTTAGAAGGCAAAGGCTGGCCCTATCCTCAGTGGAATCATACAAATAGCTGTTTGGGCAGACATTATGGAAAACATAATAAAGTTTCTTCAATCATAAAAGTCCTTCAAAAAGTTAAAAACAGAGCTGCCATATGATTTAGTAATTCTACTTTTGAGTATGTTTCCAAAGGAAATAAAAGCAGTTATGTTGGAAACATATGTTTATTCCCATATTCATTGCAGTGTTATTCACAATAATCAAAATATGGAATCAAACCTTGTATCTAATAACAAATGAATGGATGAGGAAATTGTGTTATATACGCGGACGGTAGAATACTTACCCTTTAGCGTTAAAAAAAGGAAAACTTGTCATGTATGACAACATGGTAAACCTGGAGAACATTACGTTGAGTGAAATAAGCCAGGCAGAAAAAGACAAATATTTCATGATCTCTCTTACATGAGGAATCTAGAAAGGTTGAACTCATATAAATAAAGAATGAAATGGTGGTTACCAGCAGCCATGGAGTGAGAGGGAATTGAGATGTTGGTAAACATTTCAACAAATTTCAGTTAAATAGGAGAAGTAAGTTCAGGAGATCTATTGTACAACATGGTGACTACAGTTAATTCATTTTATTTTTGAAAATTGCTAAGAGACTAGACTTTCAGTGTTTTTAACCACAAAAAAATTATGTGAGGTAATGCATATGTTAATTAGCTCTACTGACTCACTCCACTGTGTCTACATGTTTCAAAACAACATGTTGTATAAGATAAATGTATACAGTTTTTATCAATTAAAAATACATTTAAAACCAGTATCTAATGAAGAATATTTTTTCACCAAAATATGTGTGTTTTGGACAATTCCTTTTTTCCTTTTTTGGGTCAACTTTATAGAGGCATACTTAATTAAAATAAAATGTAAGTGTGTAGTTCAATGACTCAAGGCTGTTTTCCAATGTGGTTGCACCTTTTGTATTCTCATCAGCAGTGTGTGAGCATTCCAATTGCTTCATATTCTTTTCAAAACTTGCAATAGCCCAGTATTTTAAATTTTATTTTTGGCCACCATCATGCGTACAAAGTGGTATTCCATGGGGAGAAGTTTCGAAAGCACTTCAATTTTGCCTTTCTTATTAAACTTTTCATTTAGTCATTTATTGTATATCAGCGTGGACTCATATACTGTTTTGTTCAGCAGATTTTAATTCATTATTTTAAAAATCAAAAGAAAAAATGTGACTTTCCCTTCAGCTTCTTTTGCAGATGGCCACAATGCAGGTGTAATTGGCTTTCTGGCTGGAATATAAGTAAATATTTCAATTCTCATAACAAAATATCAACTATGCCCTATACTCTATAAAACTCTAATGCTTATGAGTCTTTGTCTTAACATTTTCATTATTCTAAAGTCCCTTCTTCTAAACCCAGAAAAATTAATAGTTGAAAGATATGGTCTAAAGTCATTATAACAATCAGTTCTTCAAAATTTTCCACTCTACCATTTTCAGCTTCATTGAATCATTAGAAATTAATTATCATCTATTTGACAGAATTAGAGCTTTATAATTCCTTACAATTTCTCATTTTAAAGTATGCTTCAAAATCATAGGTCCTAGCCGAAACTCCCGATCTCTTCGTATTTCTCACAAACTCAATACCATCCTTATTTGACCTCGTGAAGTGTTGTAATACACATCTATTCTTCAAGGCTACCACATCCTTCTTTGCTTTCTTTCCCCAGCTGCATTCACTGAACAGATTGTTCATGTTATCCACTCTCTGGCTAGTCTGTCAATTCCCTCAACAACTTGACCAAGTCTCATAGTTAAGTAGGGAAACATTTGTTTTCTCTGCCTTGATCTTGGACTGCTGAATCTTGCTGAAGAAAATTTCAAACTTGCTCAAATCCTCAAAAACTCATGTTTTATGAAACCAGGTGAGACTCAGTACTGACTGGGAAGAATCTACGGGAGTAACTATGGAACCCTAAGAAAAGCTACTTTCTAGAAAATAAAAATGATCAGTTCCTGGTTTTACACATATTGGCATACTTCAAGGTCGATTACAGATTCTTCTTTCTTCTAAGTTTATCCTTTCTCCCTAGGATCTTATCTTTGCTTTTGGCTACAGTTACCATATTTATCCCAGTAGCTCTAAAGTACTTATACTGCATATCACAAATTTAGAGCTTCAGATCATATTCTGTTTCTGAGATTTAGACTAATATGTTCAAGTGCCTGCCAGGCAAATACATTTGAATCTTAAAAGTACCTCAAATTCAACAAGTACATATATAAACCCATGATCTTTTTTTCTCTCAAAAACAACAATGTTGGCCAGGCACGGTGGCTCACGCCTGTAATCCTAGCACTGTGGAAGGCTGAGGCAGGTGGATCACTAGGTCAAGAGATCAAGACCTTCCTGGCCAACATGGCGAAACCCCGTCTCTACAAAGAATACAAAAATTAGCTGGGTGTGGTAGCACACGCCTGTAGTCCCAGCTACTCCGGAGGCTGAGGCAGGAGAATCGCTTGAACCCGGGAGGCAGAGGTTGCAAATAAGCTGAGATTACCCCATTGCACTCCAGCCTGGGCAACAGAGCGAGACTCCGTCTCAAACAACAGCAACAGCAACAGCAACAACAACAACAATATTTTCTTCCATCCAACCAATTGGCTAGGTCAGAAACCTGGATGTCTTACTGTAGCTATTACTTCCTAAATAATTCCTCCAGGCTGTTTCTTTCTCTCCATTTCCACTCCCAATACTCAAATGGTTTCCTAATTTATATATAGTAACCACACTGTTTATTCCTCTCATCTATTGATATCAGAGTAGCCAGAGATGTATTTTCAAGATGCAGATATGATAATTTTATGCCTCTCTTTAACAAACAAACCTGTAGCAAGCTTCTTATCCCTTTTAGCATAAAATAGAAAGTTCCTAATGCGGTTTACAAGGTTCCTCATGTTTGGGATCTGCCTTCTACTCCAGGCTCGTCATGAAGCACTCTTGTTTTGAATTTTCCTTTCTACATGATTAATATGTTTCTAAATTATTTTTCCTATATGTAACTGGACACTTCCCCTATACTGAGAGAAAAAAGGTAAAGCAAAAATGATTTAAGTAAGTCATTATTTTATTGATAATGTATTTTATAGAATCACAAAATTTAGAAACATAAGAAGGATTTCAGGCATCACCTAAATTCAAAGAAATACGGGTTTCTAAGTTGCTAAATTTGAAGAGAAAGTATGATTTGGTTTGGTTCGGTTCATCTAAGACGGGTCACAAAGAGAATTATGTATCAAATTCAGAAGATAGAGTATTAAAATATTCATCTTGGTTTTTCCTCAAGGAGAATTTTTCTGGAAGAAAAAGTAGGTATATGTGTGTTTATAAAGAGAAAGAGAGAAAGGCATGCTATTTCAATCATTAAATTCTTGATGATGACTATGAGATTGAAAAGAAATATGAGTCAAGAGAATCTGTTGTTGCCAGCAATCGGTTTACCAGAACGACTGTAGGTGAACATTTTGCCAAAAGGAGTGACAGACTAATTGTGTCTAAGGAGATGAGAATCTGCCAAAGAAGAGGATGCTGTTGGTCTTATTTTGCCTGATGAAGAATAGGAAAGGGTGATTACAGTGGAACTCTTCATTAGTTGAAGGAGCTGATCCTACGCCTGTTACTACCCCTGTGGCAGCTGCAGCCTCCGCTCCCTCCTCAGTGACCTCCACAAAGGCCTTGTGTATAACTTTAGATACTATGAGGTCCCGGTTCCCAGCCATGCCTGAGAGGTCTGCATCACTGAAGACATCCACCATTCCCATGGTTCTCAATGTGTCCTTGAGATCATAGGCCTCTTCCACTTTGAACCGGGGTAAGTGTAAATTCACACGTGCCTCTCTCATATTCTGCAAACTTGTCCATTTCACCAATTTTTCAGCAGTGAGTTTCTCTTCAAGCTATGCAAATGGAAAAAAGAAACTGATATGACTAACTAAAGATCTCTAACACGCCTTAACAATCAATTGACTCTATGGAGAATCTTTATTTTGGCAATAACTGTAAAATACAGAAGGTTCACTTCATTAGATATTATTCTAATGGGCAAAATGAGTCCTTAATATATAAATATGTTTGATTATATGTGTATATGTATATATATTTATGTACATATGTATGTAAAAACAGAATCATGTTTTTACATATATGTAATGTGTATATATGTCTGTATACAAATATATAATACATATGTAAAAATATGATCACATTATTTTGTACACAATGAACTATATGTCATTATTTCTTGTGCCACCAGCCTACTACATGTATCAGTTTTTAATAGGCTTTTCTTATTTTCCTGTACACATTATTTAGTACATATTGCGATTAGTATATACCCTAAATTTCTATTCCCTTTTTTGCTTGGTGTGTTTGTAAACTTTCCTCACATTGCTATATGTTTCTCCCAGTCAAAGTTAAATTGCTGCATAATAATATCATCAAATTGATATCCAATGCATGTAACTATAGTAAATTAATAATTAATTAAGCCTTCAGTTCCTGTCAGGCCCTATGCTAAAATATTTGTACATGTAATATGAAGCTGAGTCATCATTCCTCATTTTGAATTTTTCATTATTTTGACGTCACTTGGTCACAAGCTTTTACCTTGTTTAAATTTGGTATCTTAGGAAAAAAGTCAGGGAGTAGAAGGAAGAGTTGTAGCTGCAAGTTTTTACCTTCTGCAGACCATCAATTTCATTTGGCAGCAGCACAATCATGCTTAGATCTTTGGCTTTGTATGGTATTTCCAGGACCTTTGCCTGGACATCCTCCAGCAAGGCAAAATTAAAGAACGTGTATTGCCTCATCATCTGTACAGATTTGTATGTATTCTGCAATAAATCAATGTGTCCAACAAATACCAAATGAGACACAAGACAAAAAAGAAAATATTATTGAGATATCAACACATCCTTCTTCATCTAAGAAATAACCCAGGAATTTAATGAGTTAGAGACAATAGTTTCTTCTGGTATTCCTAACTAAACAAAGTTATAAGACTAAAACAAAATAACAGACATGAAAACTTTTATTTTTTACTTGTCATGGTACTTTCCATCAGAAATGTTTAAATTGCACATTCCACATATTAATATATTACATTATATAAATAAAATATAGAGAATACCTTGTTTGGCCAAAATTTTTCCTCTTTAGTATTTTCTTTATTGAATTTCTTCTCCCACTGCCCTTTGAAATAGATTGCGTTCACAAGAACCAATTTGGTGTCTCCTTCAATACTCTTATTAGGAAATAGGTTTTTAATTTTTTCTGCAAGGGAAAGAATAAAAGAGTCTTTTTTTTTTTTTTTGAGACAGAATTTCACTGTTGTTGCCCAGGCTGGAGTGCAATGGCGTGATCTCAGCTCACTGCAAACTCTGCCTCCCAAGTTCAAGCAATTCTCCTGTCTCAGCCTCCTGAATAGCTGGGATATCAGGCATGTGCCATCACATCTGGCTAATTTTGTATTTTTAGTAGAAACGGGGTTTCTCCATTTTGTTCAGGCTGGTTTCAAACTCCCGACCTGAGGTGATCCACCTGCCTCGTCCTCCCAAAGTGCTGGGATTACAGGCGTGAGCCACTGTGCCTGGCCTAAAAGAATCTTTTTACACAAGGTACAAATGATTTGTCTGGAAGATGCTTCACAAATGTTCATTAATGATCATTAATTATTCACCCAAATCCCTACTTTAGACTCACTGACTTTGATCTTTAAACCGTTAGACTTACTGACCAATGGTTCACCAGATGCAGCTTTCTTCAAGGCTCCAGCTGGATAAAGTTACCCTTGGTGGAGACATCACTTCTTGTGGTAGAGAAGGAGTTCAGGTTCTCTGTCTCTGAGTGACTCCAGTCATCTGACATGGAATACTGACAAACTGATTTTATCTACTCTTTCAACATATCTCTTTCCTTTTTACCTCTCTACTCTTCCTTTTTTTTTTGTTAACTATGTGGTCCCAATTCAGAGGAAGTAGGCCCTGATTGCTTTATAGGACAAGTGATATGAGCTCTGTGATATGAAACATATGCCCTGTGCTGTCAGACGTTACTTCCTGGGTTATCTTCCTATTCAGTCTCATGTTGAGTTGCAGTAAGTTTGACTTTTAATGAGAGGTGGGAGGTAGAATAGATGTCTATAGTATCTAGACTTTGTTCAGCTCTTTGCCTGTGATGGGGAAGACAGTTGTGATAATCCCTGCAGAACGTGTGGACAGAGATGTGGTCCAGGCAGCTCCAGCTCAGATGGCAAAAGGCTGATTTACTGGAAAGTTGCTTGTTTCCCAATTAGTAAAGGAGAAGGGAGACACTTTCTAATGTTTCCTTTTAAATATTCATCATAAAAAATTGGCTCCGATTTAAAGAAAAGAATATGATCTCAAAATGGGCCTGAGCAGAGACAGGGGATCCACAAAGCTGTTATCATCCAGGGACATGTGCAAATAATTCTCCAGCTGTGTTTCCATCTAATTGGCTTCCTGTGATTTCCTCTTTGGTTTCCCTAGGCTCTCTTCATATTCATGTAAACAAGTCCTTCACCTGCATTGCCCTCCTGGGCTCTCCCTGCAAACCCATCTCAATCCCTATCCTCGGTCCCTCATGCAGTGTCAGGCACAGGGCTGACTCGCGTAGGTTTCTCAAAGGTGTTTCTATAATGGATGGCTCTCCTACCATTCGTTTGACTTTCCACCCAGGAGTTAATCTTCTTTCGACTTTCTTCTGGAGCTTTTACAAAATCAACAGATTCCACACTGGTCTGGTAATATTTCTTGGTGGCATCTAAATATTCCTTTGGGATAAGGAGGAAGAAATTAGGAAGTAAGAGTAATTTATGTAACTATATATTACAAATTTAGTGATTTATAATTATAATAAGCTGAATCCAGACCCTGAAGAGATGCAGTATCTCCTGTCCATGCATATTTTTATACAGGTGCCATGCAAATAATACAAAATAGGAGTGTGGAATGGCACAAGAAAGGGGTCACTGAAGGCCAATATTATGTGGCAAAAGGCAGACGCAGAAGAGGCCGTGGTTTGCAAACTGCAGAGAAGGTTTCCCTGAAGGAGATTCATTGCTTCTGAGACTTCTCACCAGTAATTTCAACCATGATGTTTCTGACCTTAGTTTTTATCTTTCATGCTGTGTATTCGGTATTTCCTGGTATTTCCCCAGCTATCCCCAGGAATTCACCCAAGCCTGCCCATTCCAATAATATCCCATTAGCCATACATTCCCCACCAAGACGTATACTATGTGACTGAGTCAGTGCCAGTTCATTGGCGGTGTTTTATTATTTGCTGCTACCCAAACTCCTCCTCTTTAATTGCAAAATTATCCCTAAATACACACTTCCCTGATACATTGTCGGGGTCTGGGACACTCCAGTGGGGGAGACTTGTGGAAATGGAGCTAATGCACTCTGAGTAAATGCTTCCCACCTGCGTTAGTCAGACTCATGAGCCTTAGCTCTCTTCCATGTGGCCAGTCAGAGACACAGACGCCAGGCTGCAGATGAAAAGTTCGCAGGCCAGGTGAAATTTACCTTTAAAAATTGATACGTCTTTTCTCCGAAGAGCTTGTTGGCGATCTTCAGCTCATATGCATCAGTGGATTTGTTTAATTCAGTCAGAAGCTTTTGAAACTGCTGATGAACATTTCCTGGCTTATCAACCTTCAAATGTCAGAAAAGGAGCTCATTGAATTATTGTATCAATGTGAATACTAAACCCATGTTAAGTGTGTTAGATCAATCCCTAAAGGCTAGTAGTCTCAAAGATGATCTTTGTGCTTATTCCCTGATACTTGGTGTATTTCACCTCAAACACCCTTCAAAATACACATTATGTTTGACTTCTTCCAGAAAATTCTTCCTGCTCTAATGTACTCCAATCTTTTCTCTTCTGAACTAAAGCTGCAGCACTGTCTACCCCTGGATTTTCCCCTTGTTGGTTTAAATGGTTAGGTTTAGTTTCTCAGTTAAACTTTCAGCTCCTTAAGAGCAAGGACCATATTTCACTTCTAACAACCATCAAGGATGTGAGTATGTTGAAGTCTGGATATTTTAAATAGATTATGCCAGGAACCCCTGTTATACCTCTTGGTGGTATCACCTTGTAAGACACATTGACTGATCTATGGCGCTTTCCTCATGATGGTCATTTTCTGTACATAATAACAGTGTGTGCCAGGTACTTGGCTAAGGGTTTTACACGGGTAACTCTTAAGTCTTTAGTTCAATTCAAATGAAAACAAGAAAGCTCAGAGAATTAAAAAAAAAAAAAAAAAAAAAAACCTCTTTATAGAGACATACATTAGAAGTGCCAAGTTTTGAACCTAAGCCTGTTTAAATCTAGAACCTTCTACTTTCCAGCAAAGCGTTTTGCACAATTAAGGCTCTAAACCAATATATTCCATAGCAATCATTTTCCAAAATATACTGGACTTATGCTTATTCCTCATAATCTCATTAGTGACTCAATTAAAATTAAATTATTTTTGCAACATTATTGTGATTGGTGTATTATAGCTATTTTATAATAATAATATATATTATGACTTTTTATGGGCAAGGCATTTGTTGTAAATGTTTCCATGTATTTGCATGTATTGAGTCAGATTTTTTATTACCCTTTGTTTTCTGGGATGATGTCACTGGGACTGCAAGCATTGTGTCCTGCCTGTGTTCATTATTTGTGAAGAGCAAAGCTGGAATTTGAACCCAGCCTATACTGGTCCAAACCTATGCTCTGAAGCACAGTGCTGTCTTTCAGTAATGTAAAAACATGGCATAATAATAATGTGCCATGAATTGCCAAATCACTCTGTATGTCTCAATCTTTTTGTCCAGGATTTCCCCTAAAAATAGCCGTTTCTTAGTTTCTGTGAAGTTCCAGGTTTAAACTATGATCTGCTCAGGTATCTGAAGCTGAACCAAAGTACTCTGTGGCTCACCTGATATGTGGCAGCTTTTTCTGTGGTGTTCTGTGTGACTTGATCAAAATGAAGAACCTGGAAGAGACAGGAGGCAGGACAAGAGAACTTTACTCAAAAGATCTGTTTAAGTCAGTGGTCTCACAGTAACGGGAATTCCTGCACAGCCCCCTGTGCTACCCATCAGGCCACCAGATCTGTTACCATCTGCATGCTAGCTGAGAGAACTACAGAGAAAAACTGCAACAGGTCAACGTAATGAAGCTGATACCTACCTTGTTAATTTGTTGTGCAGTGTTTCCTTTGGCCCCTAAGAGGACCATCCCTAATGCTGTTGTGATGCTGACAGGGGAATAGAAGATGTTCTCTTTTGATTTTCTGAACTGTTGGAACAGGTCAAACAAGAACTGGGTGTTGGCCTCACTGAGGGAATTCATGGTGAACCTGATGTGATCTGGAACTCCTGGAAAAGCATCAAATTCCTTTCAGAATGACTTTCATAAATGGAGTGTCATTTTATAGTACAATTTTCTTAAAGAAAATGACATATCTGGGTTGTGAGATTTTGACAAAGTTTTTCTTTCTTACTTTTTAATGTTTCAAGCTTTCTACAATGTGCATATATTAAATACATTAATCTCATAATTAGAAGACTCACAAGATTACTGTTTGTAAAGACTATTGTAAATAAGTAATAGACCATCTTTATCTTTCCTTCATTGCTGGCTACACTAGGGCTAGATAGGAAGTCTTTATAATGACTGCTAAGAGGAAACCTCTGTGGATCACATCCAACCAGCTCTTAAGAGACATCCCTGATGTTTCCTTCAAGGCTCTGTGGCTGCGAGGTGCTCTCCTTCTGTGTTCCAGAGGGTGTTTTTGCTTACATGGAAATAAGCAATTTAGATAAAGGACAAATCAGATGAAATAGGTATTTTAATTTTGCCCCAGCAGAATAAGTAAAATATAATCAGACAGAATGAAGGAAATGCATGATATAGAACATAGTATCATTATTATGCTAAAAAATAATTTATATTATTAAGTTGGAGTGGCTTGAAGCACTTACCTGTGTTCCTAGAGGAAGCAGAGGTGGGCAGGGAGCCTGTGCGTGTCTGTGGAATGAACGGTGAGATCCTGAATTTATGCCTCTCCTCTTATCGCCTCTGTCAGCACTGCAGTTGGTATTTCGTTACTCAGCTTCAGATTTCGCAAGCAGGCTAACATTCACCTTTATGAGTATGAAAATTGTTGACAAAGGACAGGATTACTGTTCTACCACTGTATTTCCTTTTTAATCGATGGGAAAAAATGCAAATCAGCAACCACTGGCTCATTCGAAATGCATGTAGGTGCCTTTCTAATACCAGTGAGAATAAGGTTAGAATTCCAGTTTCCTCTCATTCATTTCAACTCCATCCCTTTGTATACTACTCCAGCTGTAAAAAACAAAAAAACAAAAGAACATTCTTTTCTTGGATGTTGAATTGTCTTTAAGGCACACGTTGAACACCAAACAACTAAAAAGCTTACATTTCCTGTTTTTCAGTTCTGAAGGTTTTTGTCATCCTATGAATTTCCTTAGCAATTTTTCTGTAGAACCAGGAATATAGTTCTAATTCTTAGTCCAAAGAGACACTGAAGAAGTGTGCTTGAGTATCTCATAGCATACTATGGAGAACAGGATTCCATTGCCTTCTCCCGCATGCTCTGCTTTGGCAGTGATCCTACCAGTGCCCCTTGCAACCATTCCAGATGTTTTCTGTTGCTTAGGGTCAGTGAGAAAGTCATTGACCTTGCTGAGTCATATAGTTTGGCTGTGTCCCCACCCAAATCTTGACTTGAATTGTATCTCCCAGAATTCCCACTTGTGGTTAGAGGGACCCAGGAGGAGGTAATTGAATCATGGGGGCTGGTCTTTCCCATGCTATTCTCGTGATAAAATCTCATGAGATCCGATGGGTTTATCAGAGATTTCTGCTTTTGCTTCTTCCTCATTTTCTCTTGCTGCCATCGTGTAAGAAGTATCTTCTACCTCCTGCCATGATTCTGAGGCCTCTCAAGTCATGTGGAAATGTAAGTCCAATTAAATCTCTTTTTCTTCCCAGTCTCAGGCATGTCTTTGTCAGCAGCATGAAAACAGACTAATATACTGAGTTAACAGGCCGACACGGAGAAGAAAAGTCGAAACAAACAGGAGCCATTTTGAATGGCAGCTTTCTAATTTTTTATTTTAAAATGATACAGAAAAATAAGTTGTTTGAGCTGTTAGGATCACAACGTTTCTTGGTGGTCCTACCATTTAGCACCTGCCTTCAGACTCATTCCAGTGTTTCTTCTGGAATATCTTGTAATTTGAGGAATGTCTATGGCCAGGGAGAGGATTGTTGTCCAAGGCCATTTAATCCAATATCTCTTTCACTACCAGAGTAGGGAACTGTTTTGTGGACCCCCTTTTTATTGAGATATAATTTATATACCATAAGGTTCACTATTTTCAACCGTACACTTCAGTGATTTTTAGTACATTCACAAGGTTGTGCTGTCACCATTATGATCTCATTCCACAATAATTTTACTACCTCCAAAAGAAAACTTGTACTTCCTTTTTCCCTCTCTCAAGACCCTGGAAACCATGAATCTACCTCCTGTTTCTATGGATTGTCTCTTGTAAACATTTCATATAAATGGAATCATACAGTACTTGTCCTTTTGTGATGGGGGGCTCTTCTTTCACCAGTATTATTTTCAAAGTTCATCCACGTTGTCACAGAAATCAGTACATCATTCCTTTTTGTGGCTAATATTCCATTGAATGAATATACCACATTTTCTTTATTCATAAGTTGATGGACATTTGTGTTGTTTCTATTTTTTTACTATTATGAAAATGATGCTCTGACCTTTCGTGTACATTTTTTTCCATGGCATATGTCTTCATTTTTTTTTGGGTATATACCTATGAATGAAATCACTTGGTCGTATGGTAACTCTAGGTTAATATTTCCAGGAAATGCCAGACCCTTTTCCATAGACGCTGCACAATTATGCATTCCAACTGTCCGCGAATAGAGTTCTGATTATTCCACATCCTTCCCAACACTTGTTATTGTCATGTGCACTTTTTAACAGGAGTCGTGAGTTTGTTTTTTCGGCACTTCACAAAGTCATAGGTAGATTCATCTACAACAAGTTTCCAGAAACACACAGGATGGAAGTAGGGGATCGAAGGGATAAAGGGAGCTGTGTTTCCAGTCGGAAAGTTTCTCAACTTCCTGTTTCCCCAACCCCCAAGAAATGTTGTTCTTAGGTCTCCTGTATCGATATATATGTTTCGAATCTCTGAATGACATTGGGAAGTATAAGTTCCCTGATTTAAGTTGGGGAATAGACTAATGGGGTGTTGATGAACTAAAAAGTCCAAAGATAGAAGAAAAAAAATAAGAGGAAATATCTGAGATGCAGAATTCCAAAAATGAAGAATGGTCTTCTCTGCTGAGTCTGTATCCAGGGCTGTAAGACAAAAATGGACCTTCCTCTGTATGGAATAGCCTGGGTTTACCTGGGTACCAAAGAGAAGGAATATAATGTCTATAGAACAGAAACAAGAAGCTCAGCCTGGGAATGGAGGGAAAAAAACAGGATAGCAAACTGAGACAAACTGGGGTTATAGGGAACCAACCTATGGAAGAGAATTTCAGACTATGGCTAAATCTCCTGAGATGCTGAGGTTTGTCACGAAGAGGTTGAACTTGAGGAAAGGTACTAACTGAAAATGACCAGGAGTTTGCTTATATTTAGAGAACTTGCATTAGTTCAAATGAAAAATCATTTCCAGCATTTTTTTTTTTTTCTGTTCCTAAAAAGTGCTCCCGATCCCTTCTACAAAGGCATGTCTATAGTTCCTTATCTTTGGACATGTAAATATTGGAGGCAAAGAAATGTGAACTTGGAGAAATCTGGGGCCAGCTTGCTCTCTGAAGGCTCAAGATCAACCATCCCACATAGAAAAAAAAAATGCTCCTGGCATGTGACAGACAGCATAGACAGGACATATCCTGATGTCATATGTTGTCACAGAAAATGCCGCAATTCCAAGAAGTTTTTTGCATGTGAACACTTGCCAACTTATGTCTCTTGGTATTTCATAAACATACACTAACTTCATTGGCTCCAGGAATCCAGGAATTAAATTAAATTAAAAACAAATCCTCAATGGGAATTTACACTTTCAGGAAACATCCTGTCATTACTAATGCCTTTATAGGCTGGTTAAGAAACATCTCCTAGATTTTCCTGGAACTCACTTCCTTATGAAGGCTGTAAAGTTTAAAGAGGACATTTTATTTATTGTTTCTTACCTATGTGCTTCTGCCTGTCTATAGGGAAACTGGTTAGTGGAGGAGATTTGTCAAACATTAAAAAATAGAATATATGCCAATTACCTTATTCCCAAGGATCTCTCTACAGATATAGGTATGTGTATATTGAACAACCTCAGAACAAGATTAATTAACTTTCCTGTTTTAGTTTTCATGAGGGAAACAACTCCAGTAAGGTTTGAAAAGAAGGGAGGGCAATAGTCTCATATGTAAGTACAGCTTAGAGCACAGACAAAATGATATTATCTCTTCCTTCTCTCCCTCCTTCTTACTCCACCAACACCACCAGGGACAGACATCATATTTACTGTATGTTTTCAAACCAAACCAAATCTAACCCTGTCCCCTTGCTGATCTCTTAGAATTCTCTCCCTGATTCCTCTTGGCCTTCTTTTTCTGTTCCTAAGAAACATCATATATTGATGTTCTCCCTTTTACTAGAACTGTCTTTCTTCCCCCTTGCTTTACCTGCACTGTGGATTTTCCCCGATGGCTGCATGTCCCTTGATCTTTTCTCATGGGAGTCTACTCACTCCCCTATTCTGATACTAGGAAACCAGGATGCAAGATCTTCTCCTTTGTTTCCACTTCCTTTTCTAGCCATTGATTTTCTCTGTCTTCAATGTCCTATTTTAATTTTTTTGACCATGCAGGTATATCATGTACCTCCTACCATCTTCTATGCTGCTCCTTAATATTCACTAAGTAATCTGTTGCCTGTCTACTCTTTATTCAAACTGCTTCAATTTTTCTGAGTGACTTCAAAGTTTTCATTTGATTGGCAACAAAGAGCCAATTTTATTTTACATTTCTAGTTGAATTTCCTCTTGTAAATTGTCTTTCTTTTGCCCTTTTGTTCATTGGAATCCTGGTGTTTTCTTGTGTACTTGAATACGATTTTTATATAAAAACAACATCAATTATTGTTGATGCTTATCTCTGGAGTACCAATGGAGATGTGGAGCTCTAAAGACGTAAAGAAATTTGCCCTTGTGGGGATGTGGCTGTGCTGGGTATCTTATTTTGCTTCTTCAGCTACACCTTTCATTCTTCTCTACCTCCTATGGGTTCTAAAAAGCTGAGCTGTACAGAGACATAATAAGGCTCCTGACATCCAGTTAGATTTGGTCAATGACAGGCACCAAGAGTAGGTCAGCATTAGATGAAGACAGAGTGCTTAACCAACTGTCTTCCTCTCTGTGAGGGTCACAAGGGATGTTTGCATTATTTCACCAAAGGTTACAGAGCTTATTGGGCAACCTTTTCTAAAACTACATTTACTTTCTCTGGGGTTTGGTGATGACATCACCATTTGTCCTTCTGGACTAGAGTTAGAATAGTCTCTTCGCTGCTGCTAGATCTTGCATGTTTCACTGTCCTTTGTTGCTTTCCCTTAGTCCTGATCCTACTGTTGTAAATAGTCCTCTTCTTGATTACACATTTGATGGTGCTCTTTGTTTTCTGTAGTGACCCCTGTTAATAGTAAATACTTGGTATCAGGACTAGCTGCAGAAAAGAGACCTCCAAATGGAATTCTGAGACTGAGTTGTTTACATGCTGAGAAACAGACGCTGGAAGGAAATGGGCCACTGGTATATGGCATATGATAGGATCAAAATATCACCGACGGAGACAAAACATGAAGGGCAAGTAGAAGTCAAGGTGTTAAGATTGTGGTGTTTAGTTGCTCTACTGACAAAAGTGTTTATAAAGGTTATGGGCCCAGTGGCT